TTGAAAAAATAGCTTTTTCATATGTTTTACTAATTGATCGGCAAAAATTACGTAGACTTTTGTCCAGTGAGTGTATAATAACCCCCTGGGCATTGTGTTAATGCAAGTTCTTTTACTTTACCCCTGACAACGAACACTCATAAACGCACTCACATAAAACATATAAAACCTCGTCACCGTGTCAATGTATACCGCCTTTATAATTATCCGTTCCTGTACGGAAGAAGTGATTGTCTTAGGAACAGGCTTCGCTGCACAAGAGAAGCCTTGTAAAGCATATTTCAAGGAAGGGCATTACACCATGAAGTTTTTTCTACAACGACGCATTCGCTGCAATCGCAAGAAAAACAAACTACGTGAAGAAGTTTGTACTTGCTGAAATTACACGTAGTGAGAAGCAACAGACCAAACCGGGAACGTAAGAAAAACAAACTACGTGAACCGCTCTTGTTGTACTTGCTACAATAGCAAGAAGCGCACGTAGGAAGGCATACACATAAGAACCAGTCAGGGGACTAAATGCCCGTAAGAAAAACAAACTACGTGAAGGACGTTTGTTCTTCCTTGCCGAAAGGGCAAGAATTGTACGTAGTCAATTACAAGCACGAACCGAACCAGAGACTTTAACAAGGAAGAAGACGAAGAGGAAACTAGAGAACTCATACTCGGCCGGGAAATAACAGGATAACGAAACGGAAACGGAAATCTGCTACTTGGGGATTGAAGTTAATTCCCAAGTAAACATGAACAATTTTAGTAGCTGATAGAATTGCATACCATTAATGTACTGTTATTGTTAAAATATAAGTAATGTAAAGTTGAGTTTTACTCGACCACATGATAATAATAACTTTTACAATAAAATGATAATTGAACCGCTTAATCCGTAAAGTATCTGAACTGAATCTAATTTGATAATGTGAGAATGCTACGTTTAACAGGTTGAATTAAAAACCTTGGTATTAATGACGCCGGAACTACAAATGAAACAAATTAAAATAATTGATTTAGTCGTAAATTGATTGAAGTCGAACATTTGCAAACATGCTAACCTTGGCGCGGAATATCTTGTATAAGAATAATAGTTCGAAATCCATTTCCTGGAAAACTTGCCGCATAGTTTCTTCTGATAAAATAAAAATCGATTTACCGGTCTGGATTTTTTGGTGCCTTTTGCCAGTAATTTTAGCAACTGTTCGATAAGATATGTTTCCGGTGTCTTTGTAAAAGATGCAGATGAGAGGACGCCTTCCCATTATAGGAGACAGTTCGTTTTGTGATGGTGCGAATATCCTACAGGGGTCAGCCAAATAACAGATCCTCCAATTTTGACCTCTTAACCAATACGTTGTTTCACTGCAATGTTAAGAAAGCAATAAATTAATATAATGAATGATAAAATTACAGTACTCTAATATAATTTCATTGAATCACCAAACTTACCCCGCGCTGACCACTCGAGCAAAACGTATCCACGCCTTCTGTGAATTTAACATGCAGCAATCAATTACAGTTTCTTAATGTAATGTCATCGCAATGTGCTCGCCCACAATACGCGTTAACCACCGTGCTTCACTCTTTTAACCGAGGATGATTAAGTACTTCAAATATTGTTTTTTATAAAATCGATGAAACCTGTAAAAAATTTTTGCAGTTAACAATTTTGTTAATAAAAATAACTTTTGCCCCACATAACAATACGCAAGTTCATACCTTCTGACAATATATACGAATACGTAAATCTCCTGCAAGAATCTCATTTATATTATAGATGGATTCTCTCTATATATAAGATAACAAGACCCTGATATCTTGCGGAAGACCGTCATATTCCCGACTGGTCAACATCTAAATAAACAAAAAATTGCTCATGTTAACACATAATACATTTCCATTACATATACATTAACTCTTCTTTATGTTCCCACATTACCTCAGGCGCAGCATAATCCAAAGTTCCACGGAATTTATTGTCCTGTTTGCCTTCTTGAATATATGCAGCACTCGCAAAATCAATCAACCGTCTGTTACCATCCTCATCCAAATAACATTCTTGTTTTTTGACATCCCCATGCGCGACATCATTCTTGTGCAAGTGCCCAACCGCACAGGCAACTTTTCGGAATATCGATTTGATTTAGTTTCGGCATCGAAGCGTCCAGTTCTATGTACCCAAACAAGTCCATTCTCCTCCGCGGAGATTTCAATGTAGTAATGGTTTTCGTCTTCAAAAGTTGGCAGTTTATTGAAGGGGGGAGGGTGAGAATAATAAAGAAATAAATAACCCGTGATACATAATGCGACGGTATTCTTTCTAGATACGTACTCATGTGTACTATATTTGGGTGAGAGAGTTGCCGGAGTGTATGGAGAATGCGTATCTGACGGAATATTTCCGAGTACTTCATGATGTATCCACTGTCGACAAGAATCCTTGACTTGAAGACAAACTTCAATATCACTAATTCCTATAATAAAAAACGTATCTTCAAAAAAAGGAATACAAGCCGTTGGATACACGAGCTCCTGTTTTCTCGCTCAGCCGTACACACTCGCAGACTCACCTTTTCTGGATCTTTCGCATTGTATGCACCTTGACAACCCCATAAGCGCTTCTCCCAAGATGCGTAGGTTCTTGTAATCATCAATAGTTTTTGCGCGAGTAACGACCGAATGCAATCGAGGATCAAACGATTCTTCGCCACCGGTAGATTAACATCAGGTGACGTACCATTCGAGGCCACCTGCGTTGGAGGTCTTCTACCAGCGGCCAGGAATTTCGACATGAGAATTTTTCATCATCATCGCTATTGATCTGCTCATCGTCTACAATTTCCTCTGTCTGCATCTTTGTCTCGTCATCTTTCTTTGGATCGACTATGGTAGGTCGAGCTTTATCATTTTCGTTTGCCCCACATCCAGGCTTTCTGTCGTATGATATCCATAATGCCCGCAACGGCTCGTTAGCATATTCGACTACTCGCATCTTATATCAACATTAAATTCGGTCCCACTTCTATGCACCACTGTAATGCCAGACGGGAGCGCGGGCATATATCGGAAGACGCACGAATTCTTCAGATCATTGCAATACCGGGAACGGGGAGAGTTCACGGTGCTGAAGACGTGTTTATTAAAGTGACGTAGGAAATCCACATGACCATTGGAGCGTTGGCGTTATTTTACTGTGCTACTAATTTTGCTATTCCGCGAGAACGTATTGTCTCCTATATTCCAGAGATCAACATTCTGTAGAACGTTGAGAAGTGGATATCGTTAAGATTATGATTGGTATTATTAACAAGTTATGTTAAACGTCGTTGTCAGTAACGAGAATGGCTTTTACATGCAGCCATTAGCGATTGATAAGAAATAATTTTAATAAACATACAGTCGCCATCGGTTCTGGAATGAGTCACGTGAAGTAGTCATAATAAAAATCGTTAATAAAATTGTACATTTTCCAAAATCACTGGCGCAAGTAATAGACAGAAATATTCTTCCTATACTATTAAACACCTATCAAAACATAATTCCTGTAATCACAGAGAAAAATTCGAATATACTAACAAACCGTTTTCAGACGTTTGATAGTGACTATAGAATAGGGGTAAATTTATTATACAATCGGTTGGTTTCAACAAAAATGTGACTAAACGGGAATTGTGACCATATAACTATAGCGATAAGAGAAGGTACGACTGTATTAATAATATAAATTTGCTTACCACTCCTACTGAAATATGATGAGGAAACTTCTAGACATTATTATTATCGAACGAGCATACCAGATAATCAGCAACCCGGCACGTCGTACATGCTTCTCTTAAATAATATTAGGAAATACTTAAAATAAGAGCTAATCCAAAAGAACGATAAGCGTGTAACGGCAAAGATGTCATGTGCGTGCAAAGTAACAAAATATTGGGGAAGTATATAAACGGTGCGAGTGTGCTTTCTTGCTTCTAAGATCATAAACTACAACCAAACAATGAACACCCAAGAAGGCACGTGCGGGACTGTATTATAATTGATAGTTCAGTTTTAATGATTCGATTAACAATACTGAAGATTTCGTTTGACCATCAATTTGAACAGACGGACCCCCCTTTGTAATCAACGTAAACACTGTGTGGCGTTGGGAAGAACACATCGAAAGCAGACTTAGGCAAACGTTTCAGTAAGGCATTTGATAGAGGCGAGAAAGTGACGCGCAAATATCTGGGATTGATTGCTTATTGCTCTTCGCGTTAACAGGGAGTTGGAAGAAGAATATGATATAAAAATCGATTTCAATAGGGAATTGCGGGTCAGTTTGAAACGTGACTTGTGTCAATGATAGTAATAGATCTTATCTAAATAAAGTTTTATGTTTTGATCCCAGTGCTTTGAATTGAAGGGATCTGATAAAGCGAATATACAAAAAGTGTAGGTTGAATATGCTCACACTATGCGATTTCATAACACCACAGTTTTTTTTCTTCACTGACACTTGATTTGCAATTTAGACTGGAGTGCGATAAATTTTTGAACTTGTTCCGAAAAAAGGTAATTAGAGAGACTGATGTTTTTCTTCCCATTCGTTATGTCACAATTTACTCTTTCAAAAACCTCCGATAGTCAAAAGGATTGGACTTTCAATGATGTCAAGAAGCTAAGGAAAGGCTTAGAGTGTTGGCCGGTTGTGATATTTTTATCATGTAGGCAAAATTTCAAGTTATCAACATGTTGTTTTGAATTGGATTCATTGATCCGTCTGTAACATGTAATAAATAATAAATTGCAACATAGTATGATATTTGAAAACATCCAGATTCATACTTTTTAAACATTTCGTATATTATCCTGACGCGAGCATTTGCTTTCCTTCCACCTAGACGGCACGGATCTGATCAGCAACGTGGGAAGATATCCCTTTCTCTTAGTAGCCGTCAAACATTCGTCTACTGGAAATTACGAAAACCGTCGGGACTGTGGAACGGTAAAAATCTCTTCGCGACCACCGGTTCTTTAATCCGTCTTTTTCCACCTCAATCACCGGCATACCTTCTTCAATCACCGGTATCTCTTCTTCAATCACCGGCATATCTTCTTCAATCACCGGCATATCTTCTTCAATCATCGGCATATCTCTTTTTCAATCATCGGCATCTCTTCTTCAATCATCGGTATCTTCCAAACCACCTTTTTGTTTCAATGATGACTACAATGCCAGGGTCCGTCTACAGAATGAATATGGGTGTTGCCTAGACGACTGTCCGATGACAACAGTTTCGGAGACTTCGCAATACTTACGAGATCAGGATCCACTGGACGGCATAATATCCACAACAACAAACCATTGGGTGATAATATTATTAGTCCTGGTCAATTGTACGTTTACATTTGATTTAAAGCTGTAGTGTGGTTTCGTGCAATGAAAATCAATTAACTAATAAACTTTATAATTAAATTTATGTTATTAGTACAGACTAAACTATGCTCACCTATCGAAAGGAGAATTCGAGTTTTGGAAGGTAGCTATATGTACCCTGTATTATCGAACATTGTCAGCGAATTTACGTTTGCACGTAACCACTGATTACTCAAACCCCTTCGATTGCACAATTTTAGTCTCGGAAACTGTTCAGGAAGTTTTTTAGGATATAAAACGGGCATTCTATATTCCATGACACATACATTCCACAACGCGTAAGTGGCCGAAAAGAATTTTTATTGATAATTACTTGCATGTTTTACCATCTGCTTAAACTAAAGTAATGTCGCAAAGCCTAACCTATATACTGTATTCTAATAGACTGCTACGACGATGATCATGACTATCTTGCTGAAGTGTGCGGAAAGTCACACAGCCGCATCGAGCAACTTTGGTGACTACGAAATCATTGTGATGTCAATCAACATCAACAACGTGCTCCTAAATTGGGTCGCCTACCCGTGGGAGCAGGTGGCGGATATGGATTGGAGTATTCTCGATCGGTAATTATAAGAAATCTAAACTTGTGAGTTTCCTCTTTCAGCGCAGCTTTATAACACCTGTTTGCTATTCATAATATCTTTCTCTCCACACACGCAGACTAGACGTCGATCAATCCAGTACAAAAGCCAAGGGACGTGCTATGAAACGTTTTGAGAACGTTCAATTTTACATTTAGCGCGCGAAAAGATATATTGTAAGTTGTGACGCGTGATAACCATGAATCTCAATGATTCGTAATATTAATTAATATAAGCAATTTATAAGGGTATAAACAACGAAGAATTTTGACGTAATTAGTCAAATTTTACAGGCATGTAAAAATAGTAAAGAGATTTATAAACCATCATATTAATATGGTGTTTGGGAATAAATCATGATAATAAAAAGTATGAGTATGATGTCCGTGACAAGCATTGTCAAGTAAATGTCTGCGATCCAACTAAATTGTAAGTGACATTACTAATGTCTATCATAAACCAATCAAATCTGGGAAAAAACAAACGCGGGGGTCGGCGATAAGCATTCTTGGCTATTGCATACTAATATGTTTGAAGAATGGAATTTGATCAACCAATGAAAAGTCATGTTTTCAACATCAGCCGCGACAATTTATTGTGCTGAAACGCTCGTGACCATCAAATTAATCACGTAATTACTGTAGGAATCCGATAATCAATTACGTATGAAATGCACTGTAAGAAAGTATATTAAAAGAGGTCTTAATGACCTAACTCTCGAATCATATCTAGAATTCTATTTTCGTAAGGGATCTATGAGGGCCTTATTATTATATTGCTGAGGAGGCATGTTTTGTCTTATTGTGTAGGGATAGCATATATGCAAGATGGTGGGGCACATTTTTATAGCAGCTGGTGCATTCTCATCATCAATATAATAAGGCTCGAGTTTTAGTAAATGAATGCGTATGAAATTGCCATAAAATTAACAAGGTTTGGTCAATGTTATTACTGCATCATCACTCTTCTCGACTCTTTAATATAACGCTTTTCCGTTGTTCTACAAATACAGTGACTTGCTCACGTCCATATCTTTCAGGAGTGAGATAATTTCTGCTAATAGACTGTATGTAAAGTTTGTTTTTTTTTTCGTTATGAGAATAATGACATTAAGTATCTTCGTCGTTCTAAACCTTCTAATGTCTCATCACTGTCGTAAATAACAGGTACAAACAAGGTGGTAAACAAATGATAGCGTTTTAATCATAGCCACGATCTTTAACAACCTCAAAACTGCATGCGAATGTCAAACTGACGCGCAACTTAAGCTATATGCAACCGCGTGGCGCTGATAATGACTGTGGCACAATTTTTGTGACATCTGTTGTGTGGCATAAACTACTCTACGCGATAGAGATATTATATTACACGTACAATGCAACGTCAACGAGTGTGCTCTTAGAGTCTATTAATAAACATCTCTCTGAAAAGCCACAACGTTATGAATATGACTCGTAGGCACTTAGTTAAACTATGTATTCGCAATTTTTATCAGTACACAAATGTATTTTCAAATTAAATCACAACAACATTCAGTTAATTGCATTTAATGAGATTGATTTTTATTTAATAAACGTAGATTATTATATACATGATATGCGATTACGTCAGCATTACAACAACCCCAATCCTCCGCCCCGTATTCCAGTAGTCCTTGGCCTTGTCCTTCTTCTTGGAAATGTCTTCGTGTGGTGCCGGTGCGCCGAAACCTTTTCGTTTGTCCGAACCTCGACACGGAATGTAGTTGCAAAGGGGAGCGTACATAATAGAGCTCCAAAGATATAATTTGGGTTTTAAAAAGATGTTTTTTGTGTGAATGGCTTGTGGCGGGGCCGCCGCGGGTGATTTGACTTTTCGATAGAAACCGAAAGCCCCGCGCACAAGATGAATTCGGTAATGGTGAATTCATCCATGTTTAAATAAACATAATTTTGTTTTTTTATTAAAAAGATAAAAATTGGTTTACAAAGCCATTTTGTTAAAAGGCTTTCTTTTTCTTCTCGATCGAGGAAATATTTTGTGTGTTATGTACCCGCGGGTGATTTGACTTAAAACATAGCCCGTGTAAAAATATCGTAGTTAATTGAGCTGTTGATCATGCAGACAAGAAAAAAACGATGAGATTAAATAGATTTACAAAAGTTCAACGCCTAATTAACCCAAAACCCAAAATGTCTGGATCTGCATCATTATTATTATTATTACTAACAATTGCAATTGTTTCGAATAGAATATAGAATCTTCCCAAAATCTTTTTGTACAAGAAAATCCTCATTACGAAATAAGTATTAGTGTACTTACAACATTGTTTGAGTGACATGCAATTGCGCGTGTCAGATTGTCAAATACGTCGAACTGCTCATTATACTTTGATGTAACCATCATTCTGATTGTTTCGGAATTTTTAAGTCTTACACAATTATTTCAGTTTTTAGCTCGCACCAATCTCAACTTCAAAAACAAACAATTACGCACTTTGAATAATAATAATTGAACGTCTTCTATTCCACAATGCAAATAAGTTGAGTGTACGCTGATTTGTGCTTGTATACATTTTATTTTATTTCAGACGGCTTACGGCACACGCTAAATGCTTATGATCACATGGTCAGGCATAATAATAAAGCAGGCAAAATTCTATCAAATATTCGAATCACATCTAAAATAATTATAACCAAATTCTTTGTTTAGGTGGGGAGTGTTATTGTTACAGAGTTAAAAACCTAATTTTAGTGTCCAATCGCAGCACAGGTCAACATACAGGAATAATGACGATTGTAAGTTTGGCCAGCATCTAAAGTGACGAATTTGAAGATTGAGCTTTTAATAATTTTTACACTTGCAATAAGTACTAGAAAAGGCAAACCTAATGTTAAATGTGGCCATCTTTGTATTACAAAATTTTATGCGTTGAAAGTTTTTCATCGGAAATAAACTGTTCTCCAGTTATGTATACATTTTCACAATCCTGGACAATGTGTAAACACGCGGCAACATTGTAGTTTTTGAGCAAACCCAGAATCAAATTAACTTGCCATCGTTAATTTATAGAGGTTTAGGACACGAAGGAGAAGCGCGACTTTGCAAAATTGGCAATTTAATATTCTTTGGTGTCCTACTTTTAGACTACTGATAGCGCACCTGTCTGTGAAAGCGGCAGATCAAAGAAAAACGCCATTGAACAAAGTTTGTCCTACAATCAGCTTAGTAAACAAATCGTTATCGCAAGCATATCATCTATCCGCAGACAATAATAATGCAATCGCTTGTGAAAAAGCAACAAAGGAATAATAAATATACAAAAAAAGGCTTGGCGTATCAAAACGATACTGATAACGCACCGCCCCAAAAAACCAAATAAACAAATAGAAAATGTCAATAGACAACGCTGTTCTACGCTTCTGCAGAGCAAGCATGATTAAACATTAATATATGCAATTCGATAATTTAGTGGTGATATTACGGTTTTGATTGAGAAACTCGAACGGGTTGAAAGAAATAAAAAAACAGTAGTTCGAAAAATTGTTTATATCAAGAGTTGATTAATAAACTTGTACGAGTGAATAGATTGTCCAATGTAAATGCGATAAATAAATAGATAGATAGGCATACATTGATCCATACTAAGAGAGACAAAGACATTCATACCAACTTAAAAATGACTGGGGTGGAAATTGTTGTCAGTGTATACAATATAAACATAAATGGTTAAACTCAGTGGAGGTCGGGGGTATCATGCTACAGCACTTGATCGTAACGAATAAAGTTGAGAAAATTGGATTGGCTACGATTGTTTGCATACGGTACCTTAAAAACATTCGCTGGATGAGTTGGATTACATTGGTTTTTATTGTATTAACAACATTTGCCACAAACATTTAATAGAAATTCTCAATCTACCTACACAACAACTACGCTACTTGAACCTATCTTTCTTGGAGATGGTCCACTTGCAATTACTTCAGCACTTCTTTTATAATTAGCCACATGTATTTTATCAGATCTCAAACGCGTATTGATATCATAAACAGGAACCTTATAATAAGGAAAGAAGGCTTTATCAATCGTTGAAAACGTTTATATTGATTGATAGAGCCCGAACGAATAGAATAATGGCTCTCTTTAAAGCCT